GAGAATGGTAGCGGACATCTTGAGTAGTTCGGAGAACCATCCAATCCCGCCTCTAACTGGCCCCGCCAACCCCATCTATTCTCTGCCTCCTGAGTCCCAACTGATCGGCTGGGTCTCCTTTGGTTGCCCTGCACAGGAGAATGGAGCTGGAAAGCAGGTTAGTGGGGTGGGGAGGGAATGGGGATTTTGCAGTATATCCTTCCCCTGCCACGCCCACCGAGCCACGCCCACAGAACCGGTAGTAAAAAAATTGAACCCCACACTGTGTACAATAAGCCAGTTTTTAGGGTGGGGGTGGTGGTTTGACTATGAGTCTCATTCCTCTTCAGATCTGATCTATTGTGGGCGGAAACTGCGGGATGAGCAAACGCTCGAATTCTACGGGATTCAGTCTGGATCCACTATCCACGTCTTCCGGAAAGCCTGGCCCGAACCGGAGCAAAAACCAGGTAAATTCCCCACTTTGGATCTCCCAACTGCTTTTTTTTAATGGCTTTATTGGAGGTAGTCCTCGATTTATGACTGTGAGGGAGCCCCAAATGTATGTTGCTAAGTAAGAAATTTTGCTTTGCCACCGTTTTATGTTTCTCGCCACCTTTGTTAAGTGAAAATCCCCGCCGCTGTTCAACGAATAACGCGGTCGTTAAGTAAGCTTCCCCATCGACTTGCCTTGTCAGAAGGTCGCAAAAGGGGAACGCAGGACCCCCTCTGGGACGCTGCGACCTTCATAAATACTATTGTTCTTTTATTCCCTCTGGGAGGGGCCATTCTCCGTCTACCTTTACTCCCGAGTCGGCCCTTGTTCTTTAGTTGTTCCCTTCTTCTGGCAGCTCTGTGCATGAGCACACTGGGAATAGGCTCCAGCTGTTCTTCTGCCCCACTGATGTCCAACTCTGAAGGCAGCTGATAACTGTCAGACAGCCCTGGCCCCATCCCTGCCTTCAATGCAGAGCCCTCATCAGAGCCTTTCCCAGGACTGGCCTATGTTCCTCCCCAACCTTCTCATTGTTCGAATCTGCTTCCAGCTCTGCTGGCCCCTGGCAGGCCATAACAGGTTCATTCCGTGCAGCTTTTTGAGCGTTACCATGTCCAATCTCTTTGACTGCTTGTCTCTTCTACAGAACCAGTGGATAAAATGGCTGCCGTGCGGGAGTTTCGTGTCTTACACACAGCTTTACACAGCAGCCCCGTCTTCAAAGATTCAGTGAGTGTTCTCCCACACAACTGGGCTTCTCCAGGATCCAGTCTGCTGTTTCCCTAGGGTGAATCTCCCTTTGGTTTCCCATGCAGGTCTTCAAGATGTTAGGGAACAAGGAATCCCTAGATCAGATCATCGTCGCCACCCCCGGCCTCAGCAGTGATCCCATCGCTTTGGGTGAGTCATGGAGACATATAGCAATAGCACTTAGACTTATATACTGCTTCACAGCGCTTCACAGTCCTCTCTAAGCGGTTTACAGAGTCAGCCTCTGGTCCCCAACAATTTGGGTCCTCATTTTATCCACCTCGGAAGGATGGAAGACTGAGTTAACCTTGAGCTGATCAGGATCAAACTCTGGACTATGGGCAGTGTTATCCCACAATGTTGCATTCTAACCACTGGGAGGGGAAGGAGGGAAGGAAAATAGCAATAGCACTTAAGACTTATATACCGCTTTATAGTGCTTTACAGCCCTCTCTAAGCAGTTTAATTGCCTCCGACAATCTGAGTCCTCATTTTACCCACCTCGGAAGGATGGAAGGCTGAGTCAACCTTGAGCCAGTGAGGATCGAACTAAGCACTGTGCCACCACAGCTCTTGGTGTGATGCATGGATGGAGGGAGGGATAGAACTGAAGTGCCAAACTGCAGTCAGCAGAAGTAGCTTGCAGTACTGTATTCTAACCACTGCACTTCACAACCATTAAGGGGCAAAACTCGCTTAAGAAAGGTCTCAAGTTAATGACATAAATTTGGTCTCCATGGGGTCATAAGCGGAGGGCTACTTTATGCATACGCCATCAAGAGAGCGACTTGGATAATTTTTCTAAATTGGATTTATAAAAGAGGCTCCTTAAAGGCTGGGAGGATTTTGTGGGGTGGGTGAAAGAATAAAAAAAAAACCCTGAAAAAAATAAAAAGAAAATAGTGAACATTCAGCCTCACCTGTGCATCTTAAAGATAGGAAGAAGAAGAAGAAGAAAAAGTAGCAGGAAAGAGGAGACATCAGACTTTTAATATGCCTAATCTTCCAACTCCAAAGAAGGTTTGCTGGGTTTTGCAGCTTCCTTGTTTTTCAGTTGAAATAATATTCTCTGCATTTGCTCATTAGTGATCCTGTCCTTTTTATCTCACAGGAGTCCTGCAGGATAAGGACCTCTTCTCTGTTTTTGCTGACCCAGCCATGCTGGACACGTAAGTGTGCTACCGATGTTTTTTTAAATCCATTTTTTTTCTCTTTCATTTCTTTTTTACCTCTTTTACGTTCTTTTTTTTTAAAAAAAATTTTTTTATTGTTTTTATGTCGCAAGTTCCATTTCTACATTTCTATAGGTGTCCAAAGTGTTCAAATGTAAACACCATCATAATCATTGTAATCGTATCAACATACAAACATATGTTAGATAATATCAATCGTTATTAAAAAGGTGTACTATCTCCCATATATACATCAATGATATAACCATCAAAATATTTACTGATCAGTTTCTTTTTCCCATGTAGTCCTTTTCTTCTTCTCTTATATGTATAAAAGCAAAATATCACTCACACATCATTACAAAGTCTCCAGAACAATAAAGTCTACAAACTTGAAATTTGCCATGTATGTTCCTCTTGGCTTCTAGGTGCTCACTAAGAAAGGATTTTTTGAAATGACCATCAGAGCATTTAGAGTATTTCCTATATTATTATTATTAACACGCTCTGATGCTAAGGAGTTCTACTCCCCCTCCCCACCTGAAAAGAAATCTCTTCCAAACGTAAAACACAGGCAGAGGAGAGGAGTTTGCCTGCAGCTTGTGTGCCAGCACAAATGGCTCTGCCATAGGTTCACCATCGCGGGACTAGGTCAAGGGTCTCCAATTTGAGCAACTTTAAGACTTGTGGACTTCAACTCCCAGAATTCTAGATCAAAAATCTAAAATCCCGGTTTATTCTCCCTGGGGAATTCTGGGAGTTGAAGTCCACAAGTCTTAAAGTTACAAAGGTTGGAGACCCCTGGACTAGGTGAGCTTCAAGACCCTCCAACTCTATGATTCAGGGACTCTCTAGCCCTCCTCCCCAGTTCATTCTCGCTGGTTTCTCTAGGCTCATCCCAAGCCATCCTGCGTTGGTGAATGCCATTGTCCTGGTCCTCCATTCTGTGGCAGGCAGCGCCCCGCTTCCCACTGCAGAGACCTCCTCGCGTAGCAGCATGCCTTCCAGCTCCTACCGCGACATGCCAGGTAAGGCACACGCTATGACATGGAGCACAAATTGCCAGATGTAACATTTGGGGGACTACAGGGAGTCCTTGCTTAAGGACTGTTTCTCTAAAGACCGTATGAAGTGATAGTAGCGTTGAATGAATGGTGTTTATGTCCGGTCACTGAAATTGTAGCTCTTGGCCGTTGGTGTCTGGTGGGAGATACCTGACTTTGGGATGAGGTTCAGTGTGGTGTCAACTTGGAAAGCATTCCTATGCCTGTTTCTGAGTTGCCATAAGAAGGAAGGTGGGGGGGAAAGCCTGAAGGAGCAGTACGGCAATTAAAACCAGAAACACATTCCACGCTTATCTCACAAAGATTGTAGCCTAGGCTATAATCCTTCAAAAATCCTTCATTGGAGAGAGTGATTGATGACGCCCAGCCCGCTGAACGTGTTTGGAGAATCTGATTTATGACACACTCAGGAGGGTGGGGGAAAACGGAGTCATAGGTGATAATAAATTACATGTCTCAGAGTTGGCTTCATATAGGTTTTAGTGCTGGACATGTTGCTCATAATAAATGTTTTGGATTCTTTCGAAGGTTGGCTCGAGGCTCATGATTTAATTAGGGCAATCACCGGAATCCTGACATGTGGTTTCTTTCTCTCTCCTTCTCTCTCATCCAGGAGGATTTCTTTTTGAAGGTCTCTCTGATGATGAAGATGACTTCCATCAGGTAACGGGAGAAGGCGGGTGGATATCTCTGAAAAGAGAAGCCCAACGCTAAGAATAGAGTGTAGTAGACTGGAAGGGGAATAGAAACAGAAATAAGAATAGAGTAGAATAGAATAGAATACAGTCTACAGAATAGAATAGAATGCAGAATAGAATGCAGAATAAAATAGAATGCTGAATAGAATAGAATAGAATAGAATAGAATAGAATAGAATAGAATAGAATAGAATAGAATAGAATAGAATATAGGATAGGATAGGATAGGATAGAATGCAGAATAGGATAGAATGCAGAATAGGATAGAATGCAGAATAGGATAGAAGAAAATTGAATGCAGAATAGAATAGAATAAAATAGAATAGAATGCAGAATAAAATAGAATGCAGAATAGAATAAAATAGGATAGGATAGGATAGAATGGAATGGAATAGAATAGAATATAGGATAGGATAGAATGCAGGAATAGAATGCAGAATAGAGTAGAATGCAGAATAGGATAGAAGAAAATAGAATGCAGAATAGAATAAAATAGGATAGGATAGAATGCAGAATAAAATTGAATGCAGAATAGAATAGAATGCAGAATAGAATAGAATGCAGAATAGAATAAAATAGGATAGGATAGGATAGGATAGGATAGGATAGGATAGGATAGAATAGAATAGAATAGAATAGAATAGAATAGAATAGAATAGAATTTAGAATAGAATTTAGACTAGACTAGGAACAAGAACCAGAACAGAATATTTGGCCAAGTGTGATTAGACACACAAGGAACCTGCCTCCGGTGCAGAAGCTCTCAGTGCACATGCAAAGCAACAGAATCACCATCATCACAACAATAATAATACTAATAAGAGGGGGGAGCAAAGAATACAATAAGGACAAGCAGAACTACAGCAACACAACATGAGTTAACAGATATTAGGCAGCACTGTGGGAATCGGATGTTCAGCAGGGTGAAGGCACGAGGAGGAGGAGGAGGAGGAGGAGGAGGAAGGAAACCTGTCCCTGTGTCCAGTTGTTTTGGCATGCAATGCCCTGTAGCGGCGTCTAGAGGGGAGGATTTGGAACAGTTTTATGTCCAGGATGTGAGGGTGTCTGCAGGTATCTTCTCAGTCTACTTTCTGAGGTCTTCTGTAAGTTGAGGAGGGACCTCTTCAAGAAATGCAAACAGGTCTGGACTTGTTTCTCCGTCTGGAAGGAGAAATTCAGGCCACCACTGAGAAGGCCTGTTTTCCTGAACCACATCTTCTCTTGGGAGTAATACGGGATGATTTCCATTTTTCTCCCTCTGGATGTAATTGTGGCTTCTGAAACTCTTTGTCAACTGTGGGAGTGGGGCTTACGGATTTCTGCCCAAGCATTGTCGTGAGTGAGGCCTCTCCTTTCCCAACAGAGCATGAGGACCACACCGTCCAGCAGCAACTCCGGATCCCGGCCAGCGTCTCTCGGCTACACCGGCGCGGCGGGGCCTCGGCCCATCACGCAGAGCGAGTTGGCCACGGCCCTTGCCCTAGCCAGCACTCCAGAGAGCAGCTCGCACACCCCAACGCCTGGAACGCAGGTCAGCGGGAGACAAGGGAGAGAGTTTGGCTAATCTCAAAAGCCACTGGTAAGAGTTTCTAGTCCCTCTGGAGTGGGGGCAGAGGAGACGGGCCATGGGAAAGAGCCGGTCTAAAGCCGTGTTGCTCAACCGTGGCCACTTGGCAAAACGTTGTGGACTTCCGACTCCCAGAATTCCCCAGCCAGCCTGGGGTCGCAGGCGTGGCAGTCCAATTTATCTGGCGGACACCAGATGTTTCTGTCTTCCTCCTTTTCAGGGCCATTCCTCCGGCACATCTCCCATGTCGTCTAGCGTGCAGTCGGGAACACCCATCACCAATGACCTCTTCAGCCAGGCCTTACAGCACGCTCTCCAGGCATCAGGACAGCCTAGCCTTCAGGTCTGTAAACCTCCAGGAAGTTGCGATGGTCCATTCATTCATTCACGTCCTTGCATTTCGGTTCAGCCCTCCAATAACCTAAATTAGGAAACTGGAGGTATCCTAGAGTACCAAGCTAAATCTCAAAAATTCCTGGAAACTTGGCATTCTGATGAAACTGGCCATCAACAGACACACAGAGATAAACCACATTTCCACACCACTCAAAAAAGGCAATTGAAAAAAAAAAGGTAAAGAAACGAAAAGACCAGAATGCACCTTCTTCAGTAGCTTGCTCTCAGATAAGCGAGGATTAACACCAGACAAACAAGCAGAAAACAATACCCCACTACCAAGGAAAGTACCAAGGAAACCTCCTCACCCACACCCCCAACACTGGCAGAGCAAGTTACCCAGAGCAAACTCCACACTCACGCTGATGATGACATATAGTTGGGTAATGAAAGGTCCGTAAACAACCAAGCTCAGAGAGCCCCAAGGTCCCTTTATTATCTACAACTTTGCCCCCCAATGTCCAGATTACCTTCAGCTGGACAAAAACTCTCCCAGGAATAGCCTTTAACTATAGAAAATTCAGTCCAAAACAAGGTACACACAAACTATAATTTAAAATCCAAACAAACCAAACTGAACTAATTAGTTTGACAGGGAAGGAGAAGGAATTTCAGACTTGAAAGCACAGCAAAACTCACACAGTTGGGAAGACGCCAGGAATACAGATAAGCCACGACGATACAAGATAAATTCACGTTTGCTCCCAGCAGCTTGCTGCGTGCAGCTTCCTTTTTTATACACTGTGTTACCAGCTAATGAAGGGAATCAGGGCCCTTTCCTTCCCCGTAAGCCACGCAACCCCCGTTGCTCCCTTCTCTGTTCTTCCCTGCATGCCCTAGGATGAAGAGGGGGTGGGCCTGGGTCTTCCTCTGAACTCCCTCTCCCTTGTTCTACCTCTCCCCTGCTCTGCCCAGCCGGACTTTGCCCTTCCCCAGTCTCTTCCACAGCCGACGGAGCCACACTCCCACTCCCACTGTCAGTTGCTCGGCTAACTCCTCCGGCATGACACCGGCTCCCCGGCTCTATCTGTGTCCCTGGCGGTGTTTGACCTGGTCTCCCTTCCCCCTGTCCGCTTTCCTCTTTCAGAGCCAGTGGCAACCCCAGCTGCAGCAGCTGCGAGACATGGGCATTCACGACGACGAACTGAGCCTCCGCGCCCTCCAGGCCACTGGGGGCGACATCCAGGCCGCTCTGGAGCTCATCTTTGCAGGGGGAGCCCCTTAACCTGTCCTCGAGGCCTCTCTCCCCCCGCCATTCTGCAGGAGGCGACCGCGTGCACCTCCGACCTCAGCCCCACCAAGCCAGCCCTTCAACATGCGCCGCCTCCCCATTCCCTGGCGTGTTCTTCTTTCTCGTCATGTTGTCCAGAGTCCAAGAACGTTGATGTCCCGTCTGCTTTTCCTGGTCTCCGGACAACAAGGATCTCCAAACATCAGTTTAGCCAAACCGCTGCCCTTGGAAGACGGGAAAAGTTCCAGGGTTCAGAGTTTTTGGTCGGCCGCTCCAGAAACGACCCAGCTTTGCCGCATCCCCAAAAAGGCTTCCTCTGATCATTTCAAGGAGACGCTCATTTTCCCACCCCACCCCTTCTTCCTTGTGGTTTTATTCCTGCCCCGGCTAAGATCCCCGTGTGGCTTTTACCGGACTGTCTCATTAAAACCTGGTTTCTTCCAGATCATCCCTGGCTTTGTTTCTTGCTGCTGCTATTTGGGTTATCCACGCAGGTCATAATTGCAAGAGGTGGTTTACTTTCGGTTTGTTGAGTTCAAAGTTAGAACTGCCTCGGGGGGAGTGGCGGGGAAGGCGTTTTACAACCGGTTCTGGTACTTACGACCAGGGGTGAGCTTCAAACATTTTAGCAAAGGGTTCTCTGCCCCGGTTGCTAGGTAGGCCGGGCCATGGTGGGTACGGCCTAGTTGGCCTCTTAGTTGTTCCTCCTGGCGGAAAAGAACAAGAAAGTCCAGTTGCCTGTTGAAAAAAAAAAGGCACCTTTGAGACAACCAAATTAACGGTCGCTACAGAGTTTTAGGTATACAATTCGGGACGAAGACCCTTCGAATGGTGTGGAAGGATGAACCGATTTCCAGAGGGAAAAAAATGCAGACTACAGGAACCAGGAGCACCGCTCAGGTGACGCTGAGGACACAGGTAAACCTCCA